CGGCTTTCCCGGCAGGAGAGAGCGGGCCGGTCGCGAACGGAGGTGCGTGGCAAACAAAGCTGGCTTTTGTGGAGCAGCTCGGCTGCCGGTGCTGGTAACTCAGCTAAGTATGTCGGGTCTGCTTCTGGAGGGATGTTGGAAAGATTTACCCGGCTCTGGAGAAACCCATAGGGTGCTCTTCTTTGGTGACACCACTCCCACTCTAACTGCTTGTAATAAAGGTTACACATAACGGAAGGGACCTGCTTTCCCAAAGCTGAGCTTCCCATATGTAACCAAAGAGCAAGCAGAAAGAAAAACAGAAACTTTTTTTTTTCCCCTAAGACCTTTGGGAATCTGGTCAGGAAAAATTTTATTGTCATGGGCAGTTCTGTGCACTAGAAGGGAAAAAAATGGGCTCTTGTAACCAAAGAGCATACCAGTGTCACAAGCGTTTCATTCCATGATGTCACTGCTGTTCTGCTGAAACGGTGCGGGGCAGCAGATAGCATCAACTTGTAGAGAAAGCCTCAAACAATATTAACTAGCAGAGAAAGCATCAAACAGCATCAAGGAGAAAGCCTCAAAACGCTAACTGCCTTTTCTGGGTATTGCAGAGAACAGTTTAAATGTCATCTCAGTTAAAATGTCAATGACTAGCTTGTTCAGCTTAATATCCCCTTCTTTATATTGGCCTTCAGGTCATGTTATCGGTATCTTCAGTCTACGTGGTGTGGAAATGACTTGCTGAATCACTGCTGAGTGTTGTGGTGGGACTGGGAGCTGACTTTGAGGGTCACCTGAGCCCCACTCATTTCTCTAGCCTGCAAGCCATCAGTGCCTGTGGTTTACATGATGTGCTCTCATGAGGTGGTGGCTGTGGAGTCAGCTGGTGGAAGAGGTGCCGCTGGTCGGGCTTTTGGAGATGGAGAACAGTCATAGTATTTGTCTTGGGAGATGAAAGACAAGAAAGAGTAACCTATGGGCAATAAGTCAGTGGCCTGACTGTTTTCTGCCAGCAGTTTGTGTCTCAGAGATGAAAGTCCAAGCTACTCCTGGGCATCTTGCAACCCTGTTAACTTGGCTGTGAGTTGCTATCACAGGAAGTTCATGGTTTTGCTCTCTACGATTGGTGAAACACTCATTAAAAAGGTTACCTGGCATGAGCAAAGTTGGGATGGAGAGAGAGGAGGAAGTCACTCCTGTTAGATCACAGTTCATCAGAACAGCACGGAGCGCACCGGGCTGTACTGTTCTTCATGGTCTCTTTAGTCTCTCCAACTTAGTCATGAGGTCTGGATGGCATGTCTCAGAGGTTGATGTTGAATGCAGCGGCTGCCCCTGGGTGACAAACGTTCATTGCAGTAAAGTTGTCCTGTGCTGAAAATTCTGCTGGCTCTTCTTGCCTTCCCAATCCCAAGGGACATTAGTCAAAGCCTGGGTATGCTGTGGTACAGCACTTGGGTCTCCTGGAGGTGACTTTTCTTCGCAGCCTGGGGCAGGTACACACCTGCAGCTGGGAAGCGTTTGCGGGACCTGGTGAAGCTGTTGTGCTTGTTGGAGGTTACAAGGAGAAGCGTGAACCATGGGAGTGCTTTTGTGGAAGAAGGAAGTCACTGAAAACAAAAAACATCTTAGATACCACGCCCAGGCTCCATCTGGGTGGTGTGTTCTCAACTGGCTAGAGGGTCTTATTTTCTTTGTGCGTATTCTGATGGTGGTCGTCTGATCTGCACTTGAGATCGAGTATCTGTTGTAGTATTTGAGGTATTAGGCCACCTATGACACATACTTGACCCCGAGCACAGCACCACTGGGAGCTGCAAAGCAGTTGTCCTGGTTTCGGCTGGGATAGAGCTAATTTTCTTCATAGTAGCTAGCATAGTGCTGTGTTTTGGATTTAGTACCAGAAGAATGTTGATAACACACTGATGTTTTCAGCTGTTGCCAAGTAGTGCTCAGACTACTCAAGGACTTTTTGAGCTTCTCCTGCTTGCCCAGGTGCATAACAAGCTGGGAGTACAGCACAGCTAGCACAGCTAACCCAAACTGACCAAAGAGCTATTCCATACCATATAACGTCATGCTTGGGGGGGGGCGGTTAGTTCGGTCGGTCGGTCGCGGGGAGACTGCTCGGGGCTCGGGGACTGCTCGCGGCTCGGGACAGGCTGGCCTTCCCGATCCCCCCCCCCATCCCATTGGGGGAGGGGGGGGAGTGAGCGAGCGGCTGCGTGGTGCTGAGTTGCCAGCCGGGTTAAACCACGACAGCAGTAAAGCCACACCAGATGCTCAAAGGTCAGGTGCGGAAACGGAAACCTGCCCTCAAGTATCCCTTCAGCACTTGCTGCTTTTTTTTTTGTATGCATATGCTGAAGTTCTCTGCTGGTATGATGTCAGTCAAGGACGCGTTGTCTTGCTGATTGTGCCTTCCACCTCCCAGGACTGGTGAAACTGCACTTTCCAAGTGCTGCTTGTTTGACTTGGAGGCGGAGGTGCCAGGCACGTGTGACGGCAGACTGACGTACACCACTGCCACTGTGGGTGTGCGGGCAGCTCTGCGGCGGCATGCCCACGTTCTCAACTGGGTGATGCCTGTGAAAGTGTGAAGCACCTGAGATTTGAGATTGCCACGGTGTCTCAAGATCAGTACTCACTTGTGGGAATGAGATGGGCGGGGAAAATCTCTTTGAAGAAAGAGGAAGTCGTCCACTCCAGCAGGTGTGGGGGTGCCAGTGTATCAGAGGTTGTTTTCCAGAAGTTAGATATAGTTTTTCTTAAGCAGAGCAATTGGTCTGTCTGATGCACCCCGTTTGGAAGTGACAGTATGGAGTATATCTGTACTCCCTTGCAGATGGGGAAAAATTTCCCCTGGGGAGGGATCAGGACCTCATGGGACCTGCAGCACAAAGCGGTGGTGTGAGTTTGTACTCACACATGCAGCGTAGCTGAAAAAGTTGTGGAACTCTTGGGCAGGAGAGTGCTCTCAGGCGATGGGGCACTAAGACATAAGGGGCAGAACAACAACACTTTACAGCTGCTGGAATTTCCTTTGCTTTTTCTTGGCAGCGGAGAGAGCGGTGCAGGGAAAACAGAGAGTACGAAGCTATTGTTGCAGCACATAATGAACCTATGCAAAGGCAACTCGCAACTGGAGCAGCAGATCCTTCAGGTAGGTCATTACAGGATGGTGCGTGAAGATGCAAAAGTAACACCGCTGCAAGACAACTCTTGTCAGGCTCAGGAAGCCTGCTGATGAATCCCCACTGGAAGTCAGGGAGCAAAACATAAGACATGTAAGAAAACAGTGGATAAGGATGGTAAATAGCTGACCACAAATTAATAGGGTTGGTAGGTCTGTAATTCTGTTTGCTGGGAAGGTAGTGGTATCTTAAATGACAGAAAACTATTGCAATCATTTATCATGTTCTCTGTGACAAGGGATTAGGGGCATTTTTCCAAATAATTTCCTGTGTGAGGTAGAACTTTTATTAGAAAAATGAACTCTTGATTTAATGGTATGCAGGGAGGGAGAATCCACATAGCCTTCAGTCACCTTTGCTTGACTGCTTATACTTACTGTCAGGCACATACCTGCTAACTTAATCTTTGCTGTTGTCGTACACCTTTGCTAGCTGATTTTGGAACATACTTGTCTCTTTGGTCTGAAGTATTTCCACTTGAATTGCTCCCCAAGGAGTTGTGGGATTTTTTGAGCAAATCATAACTTTACCTTCCATGTGATAGATTAAGCAGAATGAATTCTTGGACTACTTAATTTTAAAGTCCTCTGTTTTCAGGTTTCCTGTAGAACTAGAGATCTTTCGGGGGCGTGGTGTTAACTTTGGCTGGACACCAGCTGCCCACCAAGCTGCTCTACTGCTTCTCCTCATCAGCTGGACAGGGGGAGAAAAACAGGTCGAAAGGCTTGTAGGTCCAGATAGGGACAGGGAGATCTCCCAGCAATTACCATCATGGGGAAAACAGACTCAACTTGGGAAAAATTAATTTTATTTATTGCCAATTAACAACGGAGTAGGATAATGAGAAATAAGAACAAATCTTAAAACACCTTCCCCCCACCTCTCCCTTCTTCCCGGGCTCAACTTCACTCCCAATTTTCTCTCCCTCCTCCGCTCCAGCGGCGCAGAGGGACAGGAATGGGGGTTGGGGTCAGTCCATCCCACGCTGTCCCTGACGCTCCTTCCTCCTCAGGGGAGGACTCCTCACACCCCTCCCTGCTCCAGCCTGGGTCCTTCCCACGGGCCGCAGTTCTTCACGCACTGCCCCAGCGTGGGTCCATCCCTCCCACGGCGTGCAGTCCCTCAGAAGCAGATGGCTCCAGCGTGGGTCCCCATGGGGTCACCAGCCCGGCCAGCAAACCTGCCCCAGCCTGGGCCCCTCTCCTCCATGGCTGCAGGTGGGGATCTGCTCCCCCGTGGGCTCCCTGGGCTGCAGGGGCACAGCCTGCCCCACCATGGGCTGCACCAGGGGCTGTGGGGGAATCTCTGCCCTGGCGCCTGGAGCCCCTCCTGCTGCACCCACCTGGGGGTCTGCAGGGCTGCTCCTCTCACATGTTCTCACTCCTCTCTCCAGCTGCAATTGTGCAGGTTTTCCCCCCTTCTTAGATGCATTATCCCAGAAGTGCCACCCACCATCACTGATGGGCTGGGCCTTGGCCAGTGGTGGGTTCGTCTTGGAGCTGGCTGCCTTTGGCTCCATTGGACACGGGGCAAGCTTCTGGCATCTTACAGAAACCAGTTCCGTAGCCCTTTCTGCTACCAAGACCTTGCCATGTAAACACTGTGCCAAGCTTTGGGCTCTGGAATGGCATATTATTTCAGTGTGGTGTCATCCACGGTAGATCCGAGGTGAATGCCTGTGTTCCACTGTGGGAATGCAGCATTGATATACCTGCTGGCTCCACTTAGGGCTGGCTTGGGCCACACCACCAAGCTGCCTCTGACCTGAGCAGGTTCAGGAAGCAGGATAGCTGTGTTTGCTCAGCATAGTGCCTGGCCTAATGGACCCTGAAAGACTTGACTGGCAATGCTTGTAGCCAGCCTGTAATTTCTCCATTGGAAACAGTTCACTTCAGTCCAGGTGAGCTGCCCTCAGAAAAACCAGAGGTGACAGAAGAGATAATAGTAACCTTATTTGGTTCCTGTGGATGTATTCAAGGGCCAGGTTAGCCCTTTTGGGATTACAGTGTCGTGTCCATCTGGAGGCCCAGCATGTACCCTAAGGCATCGTTCTTCCAGTCAGCAGACATTCTTTCCTCACATGGTAAAATTGCCATTTGACCTGTTTGCATCCAGTTTACCCAGCTGGCCTGATTGTTCTGCTAGTTTCTTTATAATTCACTGTCCTGAGCCTTACGCTGTCTACAAATTTCAGTAGCTAAGTTATCATGCTTACATTTACTGAGTGCCACGTTTACCTTGCTTATAGCTGTAGTATAGCAATCAAATTACCTAGTCATACCGTGTCAGATGCTTTGTGGAGATCTGTTATACCAACCTTATCTTTTAACAAATGAGGCAATGATCTTAATAAGATCAAACCAGTTTGACTGTGCTTATATTCAGTAATCACATGCTGCTTAGTCTTTGTTACATTTGCCTCTTTCAGTTCCTTTATCCAGGACATAGTAAAATAGGTGCTCTTGAGTACTCATGGAGTAGTTCCTATTCCAGCTGAATGCTGAATAATAAATGCTGAAGTTAAACTTTTCCAAGTAAGTTAGATTGGCTCGCTTAATTTGAAGAATGCTTGCTTTACTTGCTCATTTGTTTTAGGTAAATCCGTTGCTTGAAGCTTTTGGCAATGCCCAGACTGTGATGAATGACAACAGCAGCCGCTTTGGAAAATACATACAGCTGCGTTTCCAGAAGAATACAGGTAATGTCAAGGGCAGTTACTTGTCTGGGGGATGGTTAGGCACCAGAGGGAGTGGGCTGAGTAGCCAGAACTTGTGGAGGGTGAAATTTTGACACTTGACTCCTTTTGGGAAGGGTGTGCAATTAAGTAAAATCTTACAGAAGGATATGGGGGGTCATGGTGCAGGGGAGGTACCTGTAGTGCCAGAAGCCTTGATTGCTGCTAAAGGAGGCGAGCAGACATCTCTAAGGTGATGGGAAGCATGAAGAAGCCCATTTCCAGGGTGCTGGGCAGCCTGAAGGGTGTTGCACACAAGGAAGTTATTTTAGACAATTCTGTGCTCCTGTCGCCAAGTAAGAGCGGCAGGACAGCCCAGTGAGCTTCATGTCACCGAGAGCAATGTTTATGCTGTCACCTTCTTGTGTGCAGTGCAAGGTGCAAAGCTGAGTGAGTACCTGTTAGAGAAGTCACGGGTAGTGCAACAAGATACCGGGGAGAGGAATTTCCATATCTTCTACTACATGTTCGCTGGGCTCTCTTCAGAGGAAAAGGAGATGTATGGGCTATTGGATCCTTCACTCTACAGGTACTAAAGGCAGACTCTAGTTTACTCTTTGTGATGGGGGATGGAGGGGAAAGCAGCATAATGGAGCCTATGCCTCTGCCCTGTGGCTCTGTCTGTGCAGCCTGGTACAGGTAGACAAAGGAATGGAAGCTGGAGTGGGATCTGCACAGAGCTGCATGAGAGATCTTACGGGTCATCATGGAAACTGGGAGGTCCAGAGTCTCTTCTTTGTTGCATTACCTTGGAAAAGTTTCTTTCCATTTCACGTCTCCACTGTTGCTGATCTACTTTGTTCATTTGGGACTGACTTGCTGTGCTGATTGTGTGACAGTTTTATATGGGATATACACTTTCTCAGGTACATAAGTGGACGATTTGGTACGCAGGATGTAGCTCAGCGCTGGAAGCACAAATACCAAGAGGTGTGCAATGCCCTTGACATGGTGGGCTTCCAAGAACAGGTCAGTTCTGGGGTCATGTATTTTCTGTGCTTCCTGCAGGCATAGGGTTTCTTTCTGGCTGCTGTTTTGAGGTTCAGTTCTATTTCTCTCCTCTGGATTTTCCATGTTGCTTCCAAACCACCTGAGTCTGTCAGACTTTGTGTGGAGCCTTTTTCCACAGGCTGCCTGTGCCTTTCCCTCACCTCTCCAACTTCTGGGGCCTCCGTGTTGTATGTGTCACATGCTGATAGGTTTTCAGTCACCCTTCTTTTGTATTTTAGGAGCAAGTGGACATGCAGGCTATCTTGGCTGGTGTGTTGTCTCTGGGCAATGTGACCTTTGAGCCTGAGGAAAGCAATGGGTCTGTAAAAGTGAGTGAAGCCTCCCGGGGCTGGCTGAAGGCTGCAGCGGTGAGTCACAAGAAGAGCTGACAGAAACCTTACAGACATGATGCTGGTTCCCACTGGCAGCATGACTGCAGGAGCTGCTCCTGCCAGAGCTGGCAGAGGAAGTTTCTGCTTCAGAGCTTGAAGGCTCCTGAAGAACAAGGAGTTTTTTCCAGAAATGCACAGTATGACCCCGTGACTGCATTTGTGTTCGCTGCTGTTCATTCCCAAAGAGACACTTCCCAGCTACTATTTCTCATGTGTCTAGAATGAGTGTCTTGCATATGGCGATATCACACGTGCCTTGTTGACTTCATACAATACAAGCTTTTTAAAATTAAATGTTATAAGTTACTAAGTGTGATCATGCCTTGGAGAAATTCAGGTGTGCAGTATCTGAACGCTAGTTCCATGGTTTTGACAGACCTTGTCCAAGGATACCACCTTAACTGCTATCAATTTTTGTTCATTATCCAGAATTAAACTTTCTACTGTTTCACATGAAATTATCACAGATTAAGAAGTATATATTCACCAGGACCATCCCATTTTTATTATATGGGATGGATACATTATCCTTCTTTGTTAACAACACAGAACAGAAGTGTAACATATTTCTGCCTTTTCTGTGTCTTTTTATTTTGACCTCTTTGAAATTCCAGCACCCTTGGCTTTTGGTTTCATTTCCATTTCTTTGCCTTTTTCCCCCCTATACCATACCTGAAACAACCGCCTACAACAGACAGCTTCTTTTTGTCTTACTTAAAGTCTGCTCCTTGTTTTTTGCCCATAGGAGAGGAATTCCTGTTAAAGCTATCATGGAGGGCTTCCGTTGTTTCTGAGTTCCCTTTGCTTCCTGTCTCTAGTGGTTTCGTGTGACTCTGATGTCTGCTGAAGCTCAGACCCCTCCGTACCTGCACACTCACCTCCATGTGGTGCTGTTTAATAAGTCATTAAACCACTCAGTGGGGACTGGCATGGCTCCCAGAGAAGGTGAAAGGTGGCAGCACTGGAAGAGCAAAACAGAAAGCATTTCAGAAAGGGTGCAAGAGTGAGCGTGGTCACTGCAGGGATAACGCAGATCTCCGAGCTCTGACTCCAGTGCTGCGAGATGTTGACAGTAATATTTACAGCAGAGCTCAAAGGCCTTAATCTGAATCATGACCCCCTTACACTGGGTGTTGCACAGGCGCAAGGAGATGCAATCCCCACATGTAGAACAAGGGTTTACTATGGACTGTGCTCATCGGTTTCCTCTCTCCCAGGGTCAGTTTGGAGTCGAGGAAGATGACCTGTTAAAATGCCTTATTTGTACAATGTCAGTGACCCGAGGCGAGCAGATTCAGCGTTTTCACACCCAGCAGCAGGCAGAAGGTAAGAAACGTAATGAATTGCAGATGTGCTGGCTAGAAAGACTGACCCATGTTTGGTGGAAGGGTATCCCCCACACATGTGCAACTTGTTGGGAACAAAGAGGTCTGTCTGTGCCCCTTCATTCCTTTTGCACAGAGGCAAGTTTATTGATGTTTTTCTGTTTAGTCTCTTACTGACATGTAGAACCATGAATGCTGCTTTTGTTTGATCTCCAAGAGACTGCAGAGATTAAATGAGAAACCAAAGAATTAGCCTTGCTTTCTCTCCCAGACCAGCCTAGAAGGTAACTGTAGGTATTTGTACAAAAGAGGGGAAAGCTTCTGTTGCAGAATGCTGGCAGTGTGCAGAGCTCTAGGTAACAGATGGAGAAATAGCTGAGAGAATCAATGAGATAGCACAGTATCAGGGAAGCAGTGAGATGAAAGGGGAGTATGTTAAAGTAGCAAGCCCAAGGTGTTATTTTCCCTTTCAATAAGAAAAGAAAATAATCCAAGAGAATCTGCACCAAAAGGTTCAGGTAAAGTAAAAGATTTTAAAAATTTTAAAAAAAGGTATGAGATCCCATGATTTCTAGATTATTGCTTAAAATAAACAAAAGAAAAAACTGAAAATGGGGAATTGGCTAGTTCTGTTTCCCAAACGTATTCTTTTGCATCTCTCTAGACAATAAGATAAACATTTCCCATCAGTAGGTGCATCATGTTAATTTGGTCTCCTTCTTCTTAGAATGTCAGCAAGTTTTCCATCAGTTGCATCCTCCTCCTGCCCACAGCATTTAAGCACTTGGTAGCTGTAGGCTAGGAAGAACAGAACTGTTCAGTTTTCCAAGTACAGCTTGGGGCCTCTTGCTTGGTTTAGCAGTGAGAGGATCCATACTCAGTAGACCTGCAGAGGGGAAAGCAAGTCCCTGGATATTCTAAAAAGTGGCTGGACTTTTCTGGAAAGGAAATTTCCCATTTTAGATAGTCTCACAAGTGCCCTAATATGCCATACCTGATCTTGTAGAAAGATTGTGAAGGTTTCAGAGTGAAAAAGCTCTTTTTGACTTTACAGAGGGCAGGGACAATCATTCACTTTTTAGAATATCCAGAGATCTGATCTTTAAAATAGCTTCATAAACCACTAGACATTGTTGCTAGAGGTGGATGTATTGAGCCAGCTTGTGTGCTGTGTTCCCTTCTCTCCCTGGAGTCCTTCAGTGAGCTGCTGTTGCTCTCTCTGCAGATGCTCGGGACTCCATTGCAAAGATGGTGTATGGCCGAGTATTTGGCTGGATCGTTTGCAAGATCAATGAGCTGCTGGCTGAGAATGTGGATCCCAAGGTGGAACTGAGTGAGATAGGTGAGTTCTGCCTGCCTTGCTCCTGTTCGGTCCTCAAATGTGCATTCCTCAGCCACAACGAAGGAAAGGCACAATATGAGGTTTTGCAGAGATTGTGTGCAAGGATCCATTAATCAAAGACATCATCGTGTTGGATATACTAGTCAGCGGCATTAAGTCTGTAGGACCTTGGCCAACTCTGAGCAGTTGGTTGGTCTGAAGCACCTGTGAGGTTGTAGTTCTGGGGCACTCTGGCTTTGCAGAGGAGCTGGGGGTGGGAGTGAGGCTTCTCCTAACTAGTTCTCCAGGGGGAGTTATCTGGTGACTTGACTGGGGTTCCCCTGTGCCACAAGAGCTGGGTGATGTGAGATTCAGTTGCGTGCTGGGGTACGTGGCTATCTGCAGGGATGGTTTGCAGGCTCCATAATGTGGTCTACTTCCCTCTTTTAGGTATCTTGGATATTTTTGGGTTTGAAAACTTTGCAGTGAATCGTTTCGAACAGCTTTGCATAAACTTGGCCAATGAGCAGCTGCAGCACTTCTTCAACCATGTAAGTCTCCTGTGGGTGATCTCACTTTGTGTGGTGGAGAAAGCAGAGCACTGATCTATCTGGCATATGAAGGAGAGCTTGGGGGAAAACAGGTCCATTGCCTGGAAGGACGGAAATGATGATTAGAACAGCAGGGCAGAGAGCAGCAACCTTCTCTGCTGTGGCAGGGCAGCCACTAGGGCAGGGGAGGAAGAAGCAGAAGGGTCAAGCAGTGACCAAAGTTGGCAGAGCAAGGGACACTTACACTCTGAGAAGAGTTCTGCACTATACGCCAGTGTCAGTGAATGACAGGCTTGTGGATGAGCATGCAGAGCAGCAGTTTCATCTTGAGCCACTCACACCATGGGTAAGAGAGCCACGCCTCTGTCCTCTGCTCAGGGTGGGAATGAAGATGTTCAGGGTTGTCCAGCCAAGTCTGCTGGGTGCTCCAGCTTCTTTTTTCTCTGTTTCAGCACATTTTCCAGCTGGAGCAGGCTGCCTATAAGGAAGAAGAGCTGCCTTGGGAGACTATCACATTCAGCAATAATGAACCTATTCTGGTGAGTGAGAGGACTCACAGAGGAGAATTGCTCCATCCAGCCAAGAGAGGAGTCTTGCTATCATGGGGAGGAGATGCCCCTGGGAAGAAGCTCCCAAAGGGTGGTGTAGGTGAGAGTGGATGCTCTGTACTGTTTTAGATATGTGTAATGTGTCTCCTTTCCCTGCAGAATCTGCTCCTGGCCAAGCCACTTGGGCTTCTGTCCCTTCTGGATGAGCAGAGTGCATTCCCTCAGGTATGCATGAGATAGGGGGCAGAGATAATTGGGGGGGGGCGGCGGAGGGAACGTAGAGATAAAATATCTGGGCTGCAGAGGGAGCTCTTATGTTAGAGTGTGACTTTAAAGAGCAGGATGAGCAGAAGTGTTCTCACGTGTGACTGATGAGACAGGACAGCCAGATCAGGGACAGTCTGATGATATTGACATCCCTGTGGAGAGTCAGAGAGAGTATGAAACTGGCACAGCAAAGGCCACTTCCAACACTTTGTTTTGCTTCCATGTGCTCTGATCAGGTCTCTGTATCAGCCTTATCATTTGATTATGAAATCTGCTTTCTTGCAGGCAACTGATAAGACGTTTGTGGATAAACTAAACAGCAGCTTCAAGGGAAATTTACACTTCCAGCCAGGCCGAGGCCGTGTCTTGGGCTTCAGCATCATTCACTATGCTGGGAAAGTATGTACTGTTTGCAGGAAGAATGCTGTGGTAACGTGTGTAGGAGCAGGGAAATGCATTGCTTGACAAATACGACTTTGATGTTAAGGAGTGTATAGTTCAACGATGATATAACAGAAGTGATGTGTTCCCAGGGACTTGCCTCCTAGGATTTCCTGGGATTTCTGTAGAAGGTATAGGAAGGGAGGACCCCCTAGTAAAGTGGGGCTACCTCTGGGAAGCATAGGGTGTTAGAAGAATCTGCTGTATTCATCATCTTTCTATTGGAGCTCTAGTCTTAAAATAGTCCTTTATAAAGTAAAAGCCCTGCATCCACTGTGCAGCACCGAAGGACAGTCTAATGGCTTTACCCTTACCTATTGGGTTCCAGAGCATAGCAGTCACTATTTTATTGCAAGCACTGAGGAACACAGTGAGAGCAGCCAGGTGTTCTGAAAGTGGAGACAATTATTTATACATTCAATGGTATCTAAGCAGCTTGGGGTTTAGGACTATTCATGTAATGTGACTGCCACCGATTTTGAAAGCATTGGCCAAAATATGTTGAGCTGATTGGAGATAATTTTTGGAGCAGGAGCAGACATGACAATTGAAGTCATTTTAATATGTAATTTAGTAATCTAACCTCACCATTGTTGACTAAGTTATTACTTGAGATGTTCTTTGTTACAAAAATTAACACCTAACATAGAAAGGAGAGTGGCAGGCTGGAGATGAGAAAGGGAGGGAGCAAGAGAAACAAGGGGATGCATGACAACAGGATGGAAGCCTATTCAATGGAAAGAGGGGGAGAGCATGGAAGAGTGAAGCATAAACCAAAAGTAAATGAAACTTCATAATCAAGGAATGAAGAACAAGAAAAGGTGGATGTCTCAGTGTTATGTTGCACTCCTGTGGTTCCAATGCCTCTGTGCCATCCACAGGGTTTTGTTCCTCAGGATTTGCATCTGAATGGGGTGCATATGCATTTACAAAATGCTCGTTCCAGCCAGTGTACATTCAGTTTAACAGCTGCTCCTGGCAAGCTGTGGAGGTGGCTTTCACAGCAAGCCTGTGAGCGCTGCTGGCCTTACTGACTTGCTGCCCTTGCCCCGAGGTACAATATACTGCTGGCGGCTTTCTAGAGAAGAACAGGGACACCTTGCCAGCCAACGTCCGCGGGCTCTTCATCAACAGCATCACCCCCTTGCTCAGCGTGCTCTTCACAGGCAAGTCCCTCTGCTATGATAGGGCACCCCCCATGAATGAAGGCCCACCTTGGCAAGAGTTACGTGTGGGGCTGAAGCTCATGTGCTATGAATGTGTTTCACAGCTGGCAGGCCCAGGGAGACTCTGGGAAGGCTGCAGCCTGGGGCGCGGGGGCTGCTGGCACATACTGAGCTGTTGGAGCTGTTCATTTTTCCCCTGGAAAGCAAGGCAGGTTGTATCCTCTTCCAGAGAATTAGCCACTGCTCAGATGTCTTCCCTCAGATCAGATAGCCCATCTTCTCCAGGGTCAGTGCAGGACTTTCTCCACCGGCCCTTTCCATGTGCTTTATTCTTGTCTAGAAATGAAGCTGGACAAGGTCATAGCTTCTAGCTGTTCATACTGAAAACAGAGTGCTGTAAAGCCACAAGCAATGAGTGTAGAGATAATCCTTTTAAAACACATTTTGTTTTTCAGGTACAACTTGTTAAAAAACTCTGAGGTTGTGCATTATTTTTTTCCCACCACTACACTCCCTTTTTCCAGTTATTGATAAGCCCCCAGAGTCTCCAAGGTTTCTGTGAAAGTAAACATTTAAAAAAAGCCGAGTGGACGCTTCCTTGGAATTTGTCTGGCTGAATACAGTGCTTCTGGTGCAGAATTTTTTTTTTTTTTTTTTGGTCCTGTTCAGTCCATGCCGCTTTCTAGGATTTACAACTGATTAGTTTAATTTCTGTTCTCTATTTCTGTTTGTCAGTTCTTCTGCTCAGGAGTATCTTTCTTCATTACCACTTCCACACTGTTACTGAAGATGCTTAGTTTAGTCCCAACTCTTTGAAAGTTCATAAACAGCAGAGATAACCTGTTCTCAGATTGGTTGTCCAGTGCTAGGCAGAAGCTCGAGGTGGCCCTGCTGAGCAAAGGCGTTGGCCCAGATGACCTCCAGAGGTCCCTTCCAATGTCAACCATTCTGGGATTCTATGACTCACATGAGACTGTGGCATTAAGGGTGTGCAAGACTGTCATTAGATCCTTCAGTAAACTCATTTTCCCTGAATTTTTCATCTTGTCACTGAATTTGTTTTAAGCTGTTTGACTTTATATAACCTCCTGTCTTGACTGCTGTAAGTGAGCCTCCCATTTGCTGTCTGTACTTTTTTTCTGCATTGTTAGATGCCTGTTGATGATACTTCTTTTGAAGGTCACTTAGGGTTGTTCAATAACCTGATTGCCCTGTCTTCTCAGTGGCAGAAAATAATATTGTCTGCATTGCATGCTTCATATATTTGCATTTTCTTCTCCTGTTCTTTAGCTCTTTCCTTGTATTTCCACATGGTGAAACCTAATGCACTGCCTGTGATTCAGTATTTGTAGGGAGGCTTGTGTGTGAAGTGAGGTTTCAATTTTTAGACATGGTTGATTGTGAGCAAAGGTACAAAATTAACTATTGTCTCTGTTCTTCCAGCCACTATCTCCAGGACGGGGACACTGATGCCTCATGTGAAAGCCCAGGTACTGCACTTCAGGTCCAAATGGCAGCTGATAAATGGCGGCATAGTTACCTGATATTTATTATTTGAGAAACTGGCTGAAAATGAGAGCAGACAGAAATTGGTTGAAAATAAGAGCAGACAGCAATCTGCTTGCAACAATTTCTCCTTTGTTTTTCACTGGGTTTTCTGCTTGTTTCTGCTGATGTGTTTACCTTGTCTTCCCTTCCCTGAAATCCACTCTCTCTCCTTTTTGCCATCTGCCTTCCAGCAGAGCTCTTTGAATGGCAATCAAGCACTTCTTCCAGGGGTGATCTTTTTCTTGGGTTTGGTTTCAGGTCATACGAGGAACAGACGACAAGTTCAACAGCACACGAAAACAGTCTGCTGGAGCTCAGTTCCGGGTAAAGTCTTGCTGCCCTGCAGTGCCCCTTGGGATGAGTACAGTGATATTTTAGTGAGAGCTTCCAGGCTGCTAAGCATTGTTAATGCATCCAGTCTGGGTACCAAGCACAGCTGATTGTGGTGGGAGCGACCCAGTTGGTATCAGAGCCTTGGAAGTTGCCGTGGGGTGGGAAAGTGGTTCTCGCTGCAGTATATTGCACGCCAGGCTCTGGCAGTGCTTTGGCTTGCTGGATTGTTGATGTTTCTCTGCCCTCGCCAGCATTCCCTGATGGTGCTCATGGAGAGGATGTATTCTGCCAATCCCCACTTTGTGCGCTGTATAAAGCCCAACAGCCAGAAGGAGCCAGGTGTGGTGGACAGCCAGGTGGTGCTGCTGCAGGTGAGGCAAAGCAGTGTCCTCTGCCACATCTGAGTGGGGAAGGCAGACCCCGTGAAAGAGCGTGGAAATAGCTGGGAGCTGAC